CCTCTCAACGTCAAAAAGCCGTAAACAAGATAAATTTAGCACATTTGTTTTTCAATTGGTAACACGTGAATTCATCTGGACACAGGTGGGGTCTCCTACTGCTTAATCACAAAAAGAAACATCCGTGCGGGGTGTAACTTGACAAATAATTTTCTTTAAAATTACCGGCAGATCCGCCAGATGCAATTTCGTTGCTTGGTGTTAACAGATCACGTTTTTTTTTCTGCGAAGCTGGCCAAATGACATTAATTCAACCCAGGATTGTTTGATTGAGCACTAGTTGCAAAGATTAAATGTCTCGGAAGTATTCACACAACTTCGACCGGGATCGGTAAATTAACGAAGTACTTCCGAATTCGGCATCGTTCGAGAACGAGTCGGAAACAGGGGGACTGAAAACAAATAATTACCTCGAGGGGACCCAATTTTTTATCGATGGGTTGGTGGATGGGGGGAAGAAAGAAAATCGGAAGAGTATTTAGAAAAGAAGAAAATTTATTGCGACTGAATAACACGTATGCATTTCCTGATGAAAGCTTCAAAGATAACTTAGCATTATTACGATATTTTCGAGTAACTTATCAAAATTGCACAATTTTTGTGCATGTATTTGCTGAAATGACTTACGTTAAGTTGTAATTTTCGTAATATGTACAAATAAAAAATTAAGAATTCCATTCGAAAACATATGCAAAATGAGCAATAAAACATCTTCTCACAAAATGAAATTCTACTAACTACTGAACTCTTTTAAGTTCGAGTTTCAATATGTTAAAATTGCTAAAAAAAAAAAAAAAAGCGTAAGAATTTACAGAGATATGTTAGTTACCCCACATGAAGCCTAAAAGACCAACAGAACTAGGGGTCGGTCATTCTTTATCACCTGAGGGGGGAGGGGGGTGGGGGAATTTCAGGGGATCACATGGTTTTCAAGGAGAACGGAGAGGGGATCTGTCGTGGTCAAAAGAGTATAAAGAGGGGACTATTGACAATTGACTGCCAATTAACTGTCCAAGACAGGGGATCATAAGAATATTACAGAGCCTTATAAGGGGGTCACGTAAATTTGATCGTGACACAACCAGACTCCTCCGAAACCCCTCAGGCGATAAACAATGACTGATCTCTGATTTGTAATTGATGATAAAAACCATGAATTCAAATTGAATTTTAAAAAAAGCCTATATTAATAAAGCATCAAAATTGATCCCTTAAAAGTGAGCTGAGTCGCTTTTGCACAACTTGTACGAAAACTTTCCCCAATTTTTCGTGTTTACCATTTGCATTTGGGTTAAATTCCTCTATCTTCAGTTGTACTAAATTTATTCCATACTAAATTCAATCTTTTTTATGTCATACGATACTCCACCAATATTCCAAGCTATTGAAAGAAATTCTGAACTATTGTAGTTTATCGACTAGTCACGCAATCCATGACATTGCGTGACACAAGTCTATTCTCCTATTCGATGGTGCAACGCTCACGAAGTGTCCTTGGCAGGTTGCCAGGATTTTTCATCCACCAAGCAATGCAGTCTCTGACAGTGAGATACCAAGTTTTTCCACATATTGTGCACCGCTAACAAATGACGGTTACCTGTTAAGACACGCGCAGACGTTTAATTCCCAATTTAAAGAAAAAACATTATATAGTGGCCACGATTTGTAAAAAGTTAAATATGCGCCTCTTAGCCTTAAACCTAACCTCCTCATAAAAAGACAACCCATGTGCCAACAATTGGCGAGTTTCCAATAACCACCATCCATTGCATGGTCCTTTATGGTCGTTACACGTTAGGGTGTTTGAGCCTTACGTGACATCAACTTACTGCTAACTGGGCTGAGAAACGTAGCAATTTTCACGTGAAAACACACATACTTCAATTAGTTAGGGTCCCATAACCACGCTAAGCCAGCGGTATTTGATCTTACAAACATTAAATTGAAGTTTTTCAACCTCGCTCCCAGACTCCCTCTTTTTCCCCAGTCCCAGTAGCGAGAAGGCGGGAGGAGAGAGCTTGGGAACAAGGTTAGACCATTGTTACACTTGGATTGAACATTCGCATCATGAAGATAGACCAATACTCACCAATAATTACTAGACCATGCTTTGCACGAGTAAGAGCAACGTTCATTTGCCGCTCATCAATAAGAAAACCTAAGTGATTCGCTAACCATTGTTGATTATCAGAGCTGCCTGTGATCTTTTCTACTGGCAGACTTCGCACGGTAGACAAAACCACAAAGTCTTTCTCAGCACCTAGAGAGAGAGACAACATAAATGTGTTAAGATCCAGTCGAAACCACCCCCTTACTGGTTAATTAACCCTTTAACAACTAAGAGTGATTAGCATCTAATTTCTCCTTACAATGTCACCACTGAATCACAGATTAATGACATGAGAATTAAGGAAATGACCATCAACTTAAGAAACTCTTGATTATTAAAGAAATTCTCCTTGTCAGCACCTTAGTAAATGTACAAAGAACAGTATGGAGAAATGAACACTGATGTTAGGGTGTAAAGGGTTAAGAGAAATAACCCTAGGACTGCAAGACTCGATTTCGGCCCCTTTCTGAGGATCGTTGTTTTGACCGATGACAGAGAAGGAAATGCAAAACTAATAACATCTGCCCATGTGAGAGGGAGATGCGGGTCAATCATAGAACAAGGAAAGCAAAAACAACGCAATCCAGTTAACCTTGGACACTAAGTAGAAAATTTCCACAAACATACACATACCTTGGCTGGCGAAGACAGAGAGGACCTCTGAGTCACACGAGTTAAAGGAGCTCTGTAACTCTCGGGATATTTTGGCTCTCTGCGCAGAATATGGTGTAATGACAGATATCCGAGAAGATTTTATTCCGTGGGACATCAGGTACTTGAGAACTCGTAGCTACAGAAGAAAATCATTAATAAAGAAAAGGTTACAGGTGCCATGTCAAGTTAGTCATTTGTACTTTGTTTTCAATTTTTCCACCCTCAGAAAGTCTCCTTGAGGCCAACTATCCTACATTAACGAGCTCAAAACTTATTCTCTTCATAAACATGACGCTATCGACATTGCTAATCCTAGCAGTATGCAGGGCGCATGTCATTTGAACTTCGTAATAGACCTCGCTCACCGTACTCTCTGTGGCTCAATAATAGAGTATTGGAGCGCGGAATCCGAAGGTCTGAGATTCGATTCCTTATGGGGACTCAGAATTTTTTCTTTGTCCCACGCTCGTGACAAGACGAAAAAAATCTTTCTCTATATCTTTCATTATATGATAAGTAAAATTATACACGCGTTTTGATTGGTTCTTTACTCATGAGCTAAGACAGACGCACAGATGACGTCACTATTGACAACGTATAGATTCCATGTAACCGTGGGTCTCTACAGTACTAGGTCACAGGAAAAGTCAAATTTTGGTAAGAACATCAGTAACACACTCGACCGCACCTCGCGTACTCCTTTTCTGTTCTTAGCAAATGTTGACGTTATCTGTGTTCTAATACTGAACAGACTCACGGCGACATGGAATGTACTTGTTCAACAAGGCAGGCAGCAGAGAATCTATTTGTTGAATAGAAATATTCTCCGGAGACTATCAGCTACTAGTACTACTTTAGTATATAATAAAACAATGGATATCGTTAAAGGCGCACTCTGATTGGCTACTCAAGCTCCGAATTTCATTTGTTAATTACCTTCCAGCAACGCGCGCGATATTTGTGCGCGAAAATATTATAAACGTTGCAGGAAAAAATGAGTTAAAATTATCTTTTTGTGCTACACTAACTCACTGTTTCAGTGTATACCAAAACAACTATCTTACGATAGACATACTTGAGCTCACATTGTGTACTTCACACGCTTACTAACAACACTTACCACAACGTTCACCTCTTGCGGGTTGCGCTTAGACTCCTCACGGCCTTCAGGACCTGTGTAGTCCTGGGGACTCTCTTCAGTTCCCATAACATGACAAAATACGACGCGGACATTTGGTCCCCCTGGCCAAAAGTTTGGCACCAGTCCGTTTGAAACATGTTCTGGAGTGGTTAGATGTGAAGAATCTTTCAGGAGATCTTCATAAAAATGTTTTGACGGAAACTCCCTAATACTCGGATGCTGATGAAAGAAAGAAAAAAGATATAAACGGCCTACTTGTAAATATACCGGCCATTCATTGAAATACAGGCATTCAGTGATGACTGCACCCTTTTAACCGTAACTAATACACTTGGTTAAAAAAAATTGTGTTCAGTCCCACATTTCGGCAAAGTCCGTCGCGCTTATCAAAAAAAGAGAATATTAGCGATTAAATAATTAATGTTAGCGCGCTGCGCGCAGCTCCGGCACGACAAGCACTTTTCGTTCGCCCCACGCCCCACGCCCCACGCCCCACGCCCCACGCCCCACGCCCCATTCCCAGAGCTCTACATCGGACTTATACGGCGCACTAACACACGCGACGGACTAAAGCGAAAAGGAGGGATTACTCGTAGTCTAGGAATAGTATGGACCTGCAAGCAGTCTGAGCTGACCCAGGCAGGACATGTTCAAACAAACTTATATTTGCACATCAGAAGAAAATTGAAAAGGTTGAGTAATTACGAAATATAAAATACTGCATTTCATAAAGACAACTACCCTATTTTCTAAAACATAGGTGAGTTTGTGAAGGAGTAATGAACATGATACGATATTAAAGTGACGACAACATCTCAGCGTAACTTTATATTTCATGAAGCATATACAGATCTTTGATAAAAGGGAACAATGGCGAAAACAATTGGTTACTTTTGGAACCGAGGCTTTGTTTTAGAAATAACATGGGGCAGTGCAGAAATCCGTCTTTCTGAACGACTACATAAATGCTTTCAGTGTGGTAAACTGTAAGCAACAAGAGCTATGAAACTCACCATTCTATACTGTGTCTGTAACTTGCACGACGAGAAACTTTGGCTTGCATTAGGGACGTTAAAAAGTACGTCAAACAAAGAACGCCCCAGACCAAGCTTACGCGGGACAGAACTCATTATCACAGCACCCAACTGCTTGTGGTCTCCAAGCAACACCACTTGCCTGAGCCGCTGACCGGCCGAACTTAGGGTTACTAGGCTTTCTGGCTCAAGGCACATGCTAGCCTCGTCTATGATGACCTGACTGACACCTGCGTGACGTTTCACACGTGAACTCCCACCCTCGATGCACGTGCACAGAATCACTTCCGTTCCAGTCTCAGCAATTTCGTGTCGCTCTGCTTCATCCAGCACTTGGTACAACTCTTGCATTTTGAGACACAAATCCTTTGTGTTTTTTTCCTGTTTTTTGGCCTTATCTTTCGCTAAGATTCTCTTCTCCAGCTGTTTGATTTCCTCTTCAACCGCCTTTAGCTTAGACGAATGCGGATTGCTCCGTTTACGAACGCGGAAATGTAAAGATATATCTTCACAATCTTTATCCATAACACTTTGTGCAGATGGCAAGTTTGTCCTCAGAGACTGTTTAAAAGATTGGTTCTCAATCGTTTTACCATATATCCGTAAAACTTTCAATCCAGGAATCTTCTGGAGTATCCCTGCCAAACAGAAAAAGCACAGTCAAGCCTAGTCAACAGTGCAAGCGTCCTTTTAATGAACACAGGTTCTCGTTGGCAAATATCTACAGTATGCCAAACCACCATGTTTGATACAGTGGACAAGGAAAAGGCCAGTTATGAAGAACTTTCTGTCTCCTAATCTTTCTCTGCTTAAGGAAATCCAAAATGGCGGTAAAATGTACTAACCGTTTAACCGGCAAAATAACGGATGCATCGCGGCCTACAAAAAATTCACCCCTAAAATTCTCTTTAGGATAAACATGTAACATCTCCTTGTGATTTCCATACAGTTCTCTGAAAACGGGTTTTGAGAATACACCAGTTTATCTGCTAAAGTTTGCTATCTGGTGTGTAATTTAATGTTAAACTAGGATATTTTTGTGAATAAATTTCAAAATGACTGAATTTGACACCAAATTCTTTTGCCAAAAATGAAAGGAAAGTTACGACAGTCATAAGGATGAAATAGTGACTAGTTTAAGTGTCCATCTCCCATTCTCTGACAAGCCTTCTGCCCCTTTCGATAACATCTTTAAAGAATAGCTCGATAATCATCATAATTTAGAGCTATTTTCAACTGAGTTTCGAAAGAAATGCAGGATTGGTTTGTTTTTGCTTTACCTCGTTCTGTATTGGTCCAGAAAACTCGTATCATCTTCTCAATCAATCAGAATAAAACCTAAAACCAACCGTGACTCGTTCACCCACGTTTTCCCGCGCTCCAAGCGGTTGGCAAGTTTTTACCCTGAGTTCTTATTGGCTCCTTGTGGTAGTTTACTTTCTTCTGATTGGCTAAAACCAACCGTGACTCATTTACCTACGATTTCCCGCGCTTCAAATGGTTGGTAAGTTTTACCCTGAGTTCTTATTGGCTCCTTGTTGTAATTTCCTTTCTTCTGATTGGCTAGAGTGATCACTTTTGCCTTAATATTATGACAGTCAATCGAAATGCGTTCTTGCCCCACCAAAAATTGTTATCAATTATGGCTGAGAAAAGACTTACTTGCCGCCACATCCACTGCATGATTTGAAGGAGCACAGAATAACACTTGTCCTCCATTTCTTCCTCTTCTGTTCAAGGCAGCAAATTGATAGGCAACCTGTGCGGCAGTACAGGTCTTACCAGTTCCTACAAAGGCAAAATTTAGAGAAGTCAGCACTGCTTCCTTTGGCAAAATAAACTGCGCCATACAGGAGTACAGCGTTTATTTGAACGCTTGTACGATGCGTCTTTTTCCAGAGACAGTAAGAAATAGTGCCAGACGAAAGTGCTACTCAAAAGCTTTCCTTTAAATAGTTACATGGAACAGTGTTTCTTCTTAAGATTTAAGAACGGCTTGAAAAAAAACTAAACGAAGGTACTGCTCGATCACCGTGAAACTTAGAACCAGCTTAAATCAATCTGAATTGAATATCATAAGATACACGATTTCCATTGGTTCTGCTTTGCTTGGCACTGTGATTGGTGTACAGAATTGGCGTCTCCCTCTCATCCGATCAAATGCAAAACGAAAACCAATCGCGCACCGGCCACTTGCATTTTCCCGGCTTGAGGCATCAAACACGTTTTTTCTCTGAAGCCTTATTGCCCCCTTACGATATTTAATATAGTTCTGATTCGGTGCTTGCTTCCGCTCGTCTCTTTTCTTGCATTTTCGCTAAGCGCTTCCTGCACAAGCTAATTGTTATGAAGGGTGCTTTTACCTGGAGGTCCTTGTATCAGGGTGAAAGAAGAATTCACGGCATTCTTTACTGCTTCTTCCTGTCCAGGGTTGAGTCGTAGAGTAGTCTTCGTCTCTTCCTTCTTTTGTCCCTCACGCATTTGGACCCGCGCGAGGTATTTAGGAATGTTCCTCCTTAAGAAAACACTTCTGATAAGCTCCGTGGCTTCACCGAGGCGCTTGACTGCGTTTATCATACGGCGAAATGAGAGTCCTTGTTCGATGACTTCTATGCTGCACAGCCACGAAGTCTGATTCAAGTCCTCAGTGGAGAAGCCGTCCACTAATTCCAACGTAATCACGTCCATTTCGTCACGGCTGTCTACTTGCGTGACACAACAATGGACTATACAAGGCAAAGCGTGACATCGAAGACACAAGAAGTCACCAGTGGAGAGCTTCAGTCCACGAGCAACGCACAAAATCTTGGAAAGAGTAAACTCGCCAACTTCTACAATAAATGAAGATTATACCATAATTCTAGTTAACATTCATTGCACTCTTTTTTTTAAATATTTTCATAGGAATAAAATAATTCGTGGCAGTCAAAAGAAGCCTCGGTCAATCCTGTCTTTAGAAGAAGGAATGATGCGAACAAGTCGAAAAGTCATCGCAACCTCAACCCTTCAACTCTTATGAGTGACAAGCGTCTAATTTCTCCCTACGTAATCAAGCTTGAATCACACATGAAGGTCATGAGAATAAAGGAAATGATCATCAACTACAGAGAAGGACTTGATTGTTAGACAAATTCACCCTGTCAGCGCCTTAGGAACTACATAGAGAACTGTAAAGAGAATATACACACTAATGTTAGGGTGAGAGTTCCTGAAAAATTTTGGTAAAATAGACAAAGAAGTGTACCAAGGTTTGAAGAATGATAAAAACGGACGATATTAGTTGTTTCACGGGCGTGCGATAGCGAAAAAATGTGGGTACCCCACGAGGAAGCGAAACATCGAGCCCCACGGCATTGGACTGCGAACCCGTATGACTTTGGTTTGATTCCTTTAAGTCTTGGGGGACTGGTTCTTTTTTAATTTGCCCCATGCCCGTGACAATAAAAATGATTACACAGAAAGGGAGGAGTGTTTCAATTGATATTCTAATATTCGAGAGAGGTAACTCACTTCCATTCCACTGAACAGATACATTTTGAAGAATAACTTGACTAGCTGAATCTGAATTGACACTGGATGTGACTGCTTCGCATTGTAGTAGTGGCAGCATAACTGTTTGATATTCTTTTGCGTCACTGTACGTTGCTTTGGTCGGTACCATCTGTGGAACTCCAAATGACTTTGTAGGATGACGGCGATGCTTCAAACAGCACACGATCGACTCGGTGAATCTAACTGCTAGGATGCTCGGCCTGGGAAGACCACGGTGTATTTCAGCACCTAAATAGACGGGAATTGTATTTCCTCTTTGGTAGAAGTTGGTATGCGCGCTCAAATCTTGATGACAGCCAAGTGAATTCATTAGAATGTGTTCTTCTGGAGCTTTGTTGCGACAAAAACTCGATGGTTTCTTCTCAACGCGGACCACAGCCTTTGCGTCACGATCGATCATTTGACGCTGTTGGTTCATTTGATGGAGATCTTCAGAACGAAATCCCTGTAGAAATGTAAACCAAAGCTCTTTCGGTATCTCCAGAAGCTGTCGCGACACTTCTGAGGAAGCTTCATGCTGTGTAGAAGATGAATCATCGGGGACATCATCTTGACTGCACTCTGTTCTCACACTTTGGCCTGTCGCATTGATCTCCAAGATCTTCCAAGAAAGGACTAACTCTTCCTCCTCTGGCAGCCAGTCCCGCGATGTCGGCTTGCAATCATGGATCCTGACACAGCGATTGAAAGGAGAAATATGCTCGACTTCATCCCCTCCTAACTGTATGTAATCTGGTGCAAGGCAGTCCACCTTGGCAAGCCTCCATTTGGAGTCTCTCTTTATCATTTCTGCCCTCGACACCAATGCAAGTTGATTCTCAAACATGAAAATCCGTGACGTCATCATGTGGCACATCTCACAAATATTCTCCAGTTCTTCCTCTGTGTAAGGCATGTCGTGATTTTCAAGAACAGCCAATAAAAGACGATGAACAATAATGTCCATGTAGCGTCGTATTGGCGACGTAAAGTGCGTGTATGAAGGTATGTTGAGGGAAAAATGGCGCCATTTCTCAGGAGGTAGTCTCGAGGAAACGACGTAACCGCTTCGTTCTCGGATGGATGTTAAACGACTCAGAATTTTACCAACACCAGCTTTGCTATCATGTTTAATTAACGCAATGGTTACCTTTCCGATATCTTTTTCATCTAAAGCTGCAGATACTTTCTCCCACGTCTTCAAGCTAATGTTGACACACTCGTCGCCGCTTTGATGATCTTCGTGACCGGAAGGTTCACTAATGCATTGCAGACCTAGGTACTGCCTCGGTTCCATACCTTTCTCGATACAAGAGTCGTTAATCTCTCGCAAAAGATGGGTCTTAGGGGGTAACTGTCGACGCACTGGTACTAGTGTTTTGGCAATAGGGCTTTGCAGCAGTCGTTCTGCAACTGCGCAGTTGGTCCAAAGCATAAATTCTTCAACCATCTTTTGGGAAGATAACACGCCTGTTTTAATTACATCGTGTTCTAGGGATACATAGCCTTGACGCACTCTTCGCGCCCACATTTTTAACGATAGCCGACCCAGGATACCGACGCCCTTTTGAACGTGTTCAGGGATGTTGTCGACCTTCTTACCGTCAAGGACATCTTGGCACTGATCATAGCTTAGCTTGCAGCAAGACGCTACTATACTGCGTTGAATTTCAGGTCGCGCTACTTCTATTCCTTCTTCATTTAAGTGAAAGATAACTGAAACTGCCAACCTTTCTTCACCCGGAACTAAACTGCAAAGCTCCTTGCTGACGTAGGATGGCAGCATGGGATTGTAATGGGACACTTCATTAGAGCCATACACAGAGGCTCCATGTGATAGGGCTGCCTTGTCCAAGGTGGAATTCTTGGTCACAAAGAAAGACACATCTGCAATGTGGACACTAACTTTGTAAGTTCCATCGTGATTCCGACAAACCTTCATCGCATCGTCAACCTCAACGCACGAAGCGGGATCGATACTGAACACATCTTCAAATTGCACTCGCTTGGAACGCTCTGTCTCGGGGATTCTCCATTTAGGAGGGAACTCCTTCTTGACTTCACTCTGGATTTTCTTCGAATGCGGTTTGTGGACGCCATGTTCTGCGAGCAAAACTGAAATGCAGAGACGTGGATCACCACCTTCGTTGAAACACTGCACAACAAAGCCGAGGGGAAAGCGGTAACTTGCTCCCCATTTCATGAGCTGCACCAGAAACAACTTCCCTTCCGTTTCCGTCACAAAATTTGCAAAGTTAATTCTTTTATCTCTCATTGCGAAAACAGCCACCCCAGTCTGCCCTTGATGGTCTCTGCTTCGTAAGATGACAAACTTGGAGTTGCATCTGTTAATGGGCGTCATTACGTTTCTGTCTTGGCTGTCCAAACGGCAAACTACTTTCCTGGGATGAATTTCCTTCAGAATGGCCACCACTTTACCTTGAGGATCACCTGTATCTCGGTCCTTGTTGGTGATCTCCACAGCGACCACATCTCCATTGAAAGCTCTGTTTACGTCTGCTCGGCTATTGATGCGGATGTCAGGCTTATCTGGGTCACAAACCTTAGCAATGGCGGTATTACCATCGCTGTGGTTATCAATCTGTAGAGCACAAGCCTCGAGTTCACCTAAAGCGACTTTGGACTGTGCCTCTTCCCTTTCCAAGTGTTCTTCATTGATGGAGTAGTTCTCAATGTAAACTGTGCTCTCACTGGGCTGTAGGATCCATCCTTGTAAGGGCGGGGCTTTCTGTCCCTCACCAATAGACGTCGTGGCACTGTCACTGCAAACAGGCGAAGAACCGTCTCTGATCGATGCTGGAGGAGAAATGGCTCCTTCCTCGGAATCATTCTCTGTTCTGGATGTCAAAGTTTCAAAAGCTTTGATATAATCTAGAACGATGGGATCTTTCTGTTGTGCCATGAACCATTCTTCTGTCTCAGAATCTTCATAATCGTCTTCTGGGTAGATTCCATCCGCGTCATCGAGGTTCGGGCGTGCCACAGACCTCCCACCATTATCACTATGGTTACTATCAGATTCCCCGCCATTCATGAGACCAGTAAGAGCGCTATGTAGGGATTGACGATTCTGAAGGAGTTTACATTCCTTCTCAATCAGATTAATCTGTCTCAAAATATTTTCTTGAACGGCGGAGTTAGTGGAGGAAGATTTCAACTTATTCAATAAATCTCTCTCTTTGTACAGCATTTCTTTCCTGTCATGCAAGCTAATTTGAAGCGACGATGGAAGTGACATCGGTGGTTCTTCTGTGGTCAAGCTGGGCTGATTCAGTGTTTGATCCTTCTGTACCTTAGGGGTTGCATCGCGCAAATGGAATGAGGAAGGAGGTGTTGAACTACGCGAAGCTGAACGGATGTGTTCAGCTCCGTTCTGTGCTAAGAATACCCTAAGAGGAGGGCGCTGTGGTACAGCCTGTTGGGTTACACCCCAGGGAGCTGACGGATGTTGCAGATTCATCTGCTGTGGCAGAACAACCTGAGGCACAAAACCAATCGGTGGGTGTTGCTGAGGGGGGTTTCTAACGAGCGGAACAGGATGCACGGGCAAAGGAACAGGTTGTCTTTGCATGTAAAGTGGACCTTGGGGGCGGATGAAAATTGAAGGTCTTCCTGCGAAAGGACCATAATTCCCAAGGGGTGGACCTTCTTGTACAAAGGGAACATTCCTCTGGTTTCCTGGCATGGGCCCTCGAGGAAAAACAGGGGCTAGTACGTCAGGGACCGCGTTGACAACTGGGATGTAAGATGGGTTATTCCTCGTCGGTGTACTCAAGGCAGTCGGACCTTGCTTCTGCACCTGTTTGCTTTCTCTTTCACTCTTCGCATCTTTCGTCATCTTGATGACCATTTCAAAAGCTAAGCGGTAGTGAAAGGTTTTATTGCTATTGCACCTGCCGAGGATCATCTTGAAACAGACGCGGCACTCCCCAATGGAACAGAGTGCCACAGGGTCCCCAATGATGACAAGGCGAAACCGTGCCCTAGTGATGGCAGTATTCAGTAGCTTGCAATCAGAGAGGAACCCCATGTTCTTTTTACTGCTGTCATCTGCGGTAGATGCATCGTAGGTTCTCACTGTGCTAATGAATAATACGTCAAACTCCAATCCTGTAAGGGAAATAAAAATTTCCCTGTATCAGTAAGTAATTAAGCTTCGGCTACTTCGTAGTCATAGAAATACTTTTGAGCGAGTACTATAGGCTGTTGTACCGTTATTAATAACCAAACAGTTCTCAAATAGAGTGCATTTTGATTGAGTGTTGCAAAACCAAAACCATTCTAATCTCTAGAGCCAATCAGAGCAAAGGAAAATATCATAAGGAGCCAATAAGACCTCAAAGTATATATAAACAATCTCCCTGGGGCGCGGGAAAACGCGGGTGACCAAGTCGCCAATGATTGGTTGAAAACGTGGCGTGAGTTTTTTGGACTTATCACAATGCGACGTGATGTAAAACCATAGCAACCCCGGATTACTTTCGACACTCAATTGAAAACTACTCTGTGTACTCGTAATATAGCGTAACAAGAGCAACCAATCAGTTTCGTATCCGATTTAAATTCCTTTACCGATATAGGTACAGAAAACTCATGGAAGAGAAAGGTCACTAATTAGGTCCATATTCAATCACTTCGTACATTGCAGAGATTTCTACCTTGGACATTAGTTACTCCCTCCACTTTAACGCCACCCAAGGATTTGGCTCGCAGGAGTCTTCTGATTTCTCTCACCTAAAAAATAAAAAATAAAAAAACATACATGTTTGCTATTGTTCGCTGAAGAACTATGGTGTGCTCCGGCGGCATTTTCCAAATCATTGTTTCCCTCGCTGCTCACGTTCAGGAAAGGCATTGATAAATGATCACCAACTGACGCAACTCTTGATTGTTAAACAAATTCTCCTTGTCAGCGCCTTAGAAAATGGGGTTACCGATCAATTCATCAGCTTAAGAAACTCTTTACGGTGGCCAAAGAATAACAAAACCAAATCATCTTGTTGTTAGCCCCCCACTGACACAGCATCACACTTCACAGGATTACACCCTCACATGGACGACCACACTGCTACACAATTGAATATTCTGTGATTCTTAGCACAAGGACATATCAGATTCAGAAGAAATTTGAAAACATACAGCTGCCATACCTGTGTTGGATACGGAGAGAGTACACAAATGCGTGCTGGGTCAGCTTCTCCCCAGCAACGAGTTGGCCATTGATTTATCAATTCCTCCACACGGTCAGCCACTTCTGCCGCTTCTCCTCTGTTCAAAAAAGACGGCGGATCATCTGCGATTTCTTCCTGTCCATGAACACCATAGAAGGCGATAGAATACGGTAGCTCACGAGGGCGCTTCAGTTTAGCAACGAGTGTGTCTTGGTAAAACAGATGAGATGGAACGTCCACAATATCATCATAGGCTCTGTAGTTTTGAAGCAATTGAACCTTCCATCTTGACATTGATGGATAAAGCTCATAGAGACGCACCAAGAGAGAGCGGCCGAGACCTAGTCGTTGTGAAACTGGAGACATGATGGGAGGGTTAAGCTATAAAAACAGAAAATAAAAAAGAAGAAACTTTTAATTATCAGAGTGCCGACAAGTAATCCAGGATTGGATAGGTTTTGTTTACTTCGCCATGTGATTGGTTTTGACAACTCGCGCTGTTTTCTTAACCAATCAGATTTAAAATAGAAACCGACTTGGTTACCCACGTTTTCCCGCCCTTTGTGCTGTTATTATTTTGAGCTCTCATTGGCTGTTCGTAGAAATTTTCCTTTCTTCTGATTGGCCGTTAATGACGCTGTGCTTTCGGTTTAACGCCGGACACTCAATCGCAACGTTCTTTACACTGTCGTTGGTGTAGGAAACTCGCGTGACATTTTCAACAAATTAGATGAAAAACTTAAACCAAACGCGCGTTGTTTATTTGTTAGAGAGATGTTACACACTCATTTTCCACTCGTAGCTTAATGTTATTATCAATAGATTAATTTCAATAGAGTGTCGAAAGTAAGCCGAGATTGCCATAGTTTTGCCTTACTTCGGTCTGTGATTGGTCCAGAAACTCACGCCACTCTTTGAACCAATCAGATGCAAAACTAAAACCAATCACTACTTGTTCGCTGACGTTTTCCCGCGCTTTTGGTAGTTCGCCCGTTTTTTCTTGACTCCTTATTGGTTGATGATGACGCAAACCTTTGTTATGATTGGCTGAAAGATAATTTTAGTTTTGGTTGACGACAGTCAATTGAAAACTGCTCTAATACAAATAATAATTATTCATCGTTACCTGAAGATGATCTCCTGCCAGGACCACCTGCGTTTTAGGTCCTGCAAAGCAAAGCGGGATGATCGTTTCTACTTCCATGGCTTGAGCAGCTTCATCAATGAAGATGTGCGTAAAAAATCCAGGAGGCAAATTAAGATTAGCCAGGGAGGCTGCAGTGACGAGAGTGGTCACCACAACTCTACGTTTCAGTAGTGACTCCTCGTCAGGCATTGCAAATTTTCCAGTGCGCCGATCCAAGAGACAATATTGAAGTACTGTGTCAGAGACGGTGCTGACAAAACGATTTTCCCAGCAAATGCGCAAGGGTTTGAACATCAAAGCTGAAATATTTGCGTTTGTTAAGTAAGGATGAAGATGATTTTTGATATAATGATCGGCTGCGCTGTTGGAATGAGTACAAAGTAGAATACGATATTTTGGTGAGCTTTTCAACTGAATCGAGATAAGCTCTTTGATGGCTTCAGCGATGGTCCTGGTTTTTCCGGTCCCAAACGGACCCAGAATCAACAAAGGAGGTCCCGAGTGAGGCGACAACATCTGCTTCAGCGCATAGGTTTGAGACTCGTTCAACAGCTTGGCACACGTCGAGTGATTTGTCCACTGTTCGCGAATTCCTTCTGGAACAGCCGGGAATACTACATCTAAGCTGACATTCTCTAATGCCCAGTGCATGAATTGGTACGTGTCCACGAAACGAAAGCACACAGAAGCTGGAAGTGATACTTTAGATCTCAGCCTTTCCATAAGTAAGGCGCTAGCACGTAGTAATACACGATTCTTTTTCAAACTCTCCACTACCACCTCGTACAGGAGAGGATTTGGCATGGCGTGTTGTTGCAATCTAACCAAAGCATGGCCTCCACGTCTGATTAGGAGAGTAGCATCATCCATGAGGTCTTCGTGGACTGGAAGGACAATAGTCACTTGGGACGGGTCAGTAGCACATGGTTGAGTACAATAGTGAAGATCTATGTAATGTATGGTGAGCCTGGAATAGAACAGCACTTAAATTTAAAAGTGACCAGCATCTAAATTCTCCACACAATATCACCACTGAATCACACATATAAGATCATAAGAATAAAGGAAATGATCACCAACTAAGTAGCTCTTGATTGTTAAACAAATTCTCCTAGCCAGCACATTAGGAAATATATAGAGAACAGTATGGAGAATATACATGCTGATGTTAGGGTGTAAAAAAACCTTAAACTACACCCACTGTTTTTACAGTTTGACTGTCATTTCTCAAATACATCTAGCATTTGATTGATGTTAACAAAGTCAAGGTTATTGTTGGGTATTCTAAAAGCATGATTGATGTACGAACAATTTTTCAACCTTGTCATCTGTCGCCGACGCTCAAATTCCTCGATGTGAAGGAGCACGTGCAGTCGCTGCTTGTACATACTGCGAGTCAAGCGTTCTTCCAGGTGATCAAAATGACCTAATTCTAAAGTTGTACCAAGGCTGGGTGGGAGATCAAATTCAGATTTCCTTTGCACTGCCAAAAGAATAAAGTAGACACCTTAGAGTAAAGGTCAGAAGGCATGCAGATTGATGGTTAACCCGAAACGTTAACCAAAGAATTTCAGCTCTGAGAACAAGATAGGATATCTAAATTACTTAACCCTTTAATCCCTAAGAGTGACTAATATCTAAATTCTCCTTACAACATCATCCCTGAATCAAACATTAAGATCATGAGGATAAAGGAAATGATCACCAACTAAAGAAG